AAAAAAAAAAAAAAAAAAAAAGAAAAAAAAAACTCAACAATATATAGGTATGTGGATGCACCCATATACATATATAGATATGAGTAACGTTTCGTAAACAAAAACGATTTAATTTTTTCAATCGTCATTCGAATTAAACTATTCTATTTATTCGAATTAAACTATTCTCTACTTATTAGAATGAAAATATATTGAAAAATCACATGATTGGTTCGTTATAAGTTAAAAATGAACTACACACTGCAGGTTAAAATTAACGATTAAATATAAAAGTAGAGGGGAAAAGATACAAACAAAAAAAAAAAAATAAAGAAGAAGAAGAAAAAGATTAGAAATGAGTAAAATTAATGTGAATTAATGGAATTCGATTAAAAATTAAAGAGACAAAAGGTAAGAATTATTTTTTCCAAGTACTTTGTGAGTTATACTCTAAATATCGTTCGATAAATTGTACCAATGCAATTCTCGTGTGAATTTCAAGGTTAAAATAATTCATTTTCCGTTTCTAATGACCGCTTCCATTATATATTTCGCTTGCTAACTATGGGGATAACCGTAAAAAGTGTTACAGAAGGAGAAAAAAAAAAAAAAGATTGACAGAGAGGAAGATAAAGGATAGAAAAAAAATTGTCTAAGCAGTCTTGAACATCCATGGGCGGGGAAGGGGGAAGGGGAAGGGAAGGAGAGGGAGGGGTTAACTTTTTCTTCTTCTCAATACCAGGTGTAAAAAGGTGGTTGAGGGGTTGGTCTAGGAGGTTGTTGGAAACTCTGAGCCGAATAATGACTTGCAAAAGCTTGATGAGGATGAGCACCATGAGCAGCATGGGATTGTTGAAGTGTACTAGGTGGGCTAGATAAAGCAACTCGCGATGATGACGGAATTGGTGGTAAATTCCAAGATGATGGGGGAGGAGGATTTTCTTGAGCAGTTTGTTGTTGCTGTTGTTGCTGATGAACGGGAGATGATCCAGCGGTCATCGATAATTCGCTGTTAGACATTTGATCAGATCCAGAATTTACCGAATTAATCGAATTCGATGCCATCATTGATACCAAAGTATTTGCAGTAGTTGGTAATTGATGATTAGCAGTTAATGATGGTGGTGGTGGTGGTGGTGGTGGTTGATTTTGTTGATAAGCTGCTGCACTCGATACTGGCGTTATGGAATTAACTTGATGACTCATTTGAGATGTCGATGTTGACGTGGTAGGTGGTAACAATGTACTAGGATAAGTAACCGGTGTTGGTAAACCATAACTTGCTGCTGTTGACGATGACAATCTCGTTGGATCTGCAGCCAATTGATGAGACATGCTATTGCCGTGATGAGCCGAATAAATCTCTGGAACTATATATATATATATTATTGATTATTAAATTATAGTTGTTTCTCTCGTCCAAAAATAAAATTCTTAATAAGAAGGTATCATAGGGAATTTGGACATCAAAAAAAGAATTAGAACTTAATTTTGATAAGTTGGACGTTCATAACGGATTAAGATTTAACGAAGTGTAGATGTTTTGTGTGTGTGAATATTATAAATAAAAAGAAAAATGTATGTCTACTTAAAGAGAAAAAAAAAACGCTGAACTTTAGAGATTAAGTTGCTGAATAAGTCTCAATAAAGGGACAAGAAACGTCCAACTTATCAACAATTAAGTTCTACTTCTTTTTTTGATGTCCAAATTCCCTATGATACCTTCTTATTATTGATTATGTTTCATTTAGAGAAAGTGAAATTAAAAAATACAACGTGTCTCGTGTTTTATCATTAAATGTAAAGATCTTTCAATCAAAGATTTCTTAACAATATTATGGATATTGTCAAACCCCTCTTGACGTGACAAAGCAAATATTCAATGTGTATATGTTTATGTGTGTATGTGACGTGTCACAGAAAAGCTTAGCTTCCTTTATGGTTTTTCTCGAGATTCGCAAAATAAACGCCGAGTGTTCTGAACTGTAGTAGAGTGACTAGCGTGCTTGGATTCTTTCGATGTCCCGTAGTTGACGTTCTTCGTCAAACGACTTCCGGTAATCGTGTTAGAACAACTCGTACGGTGCCGCACAAAAAGTCTATCTGGGTGAGGACCACCTGCCGTCCTTTGACTACTTTCACGAGTCATTTTTTCTCTCTTTTCTTTCTTTTTTTTTTCTTTTTATTTTTTAATCCGCGGAATGCACGATTAGTATCGCTACGTTAAATTTATAAGAAGTTTACTTGAAATTCCTAAGAGACATAGTTGTCTACGTGTAACTCATGGATGAAAATTCCATCGTAATGTTTTTCAAGGTCGTATATATATATATATATATAAATCACAAATTCAAAAGAGTTCTTGCACGTTTTTTCTTTTTTATATATGTTTCTTTATTCAAATTTAAATCAACGCAATGAAGTGCACATTTCAATATTATATTTTCTTTTTTTATCTCATTTTTCGTATTAGAACTAGAAAAAAAGAGAATTGACCAAAAAAATCCGATAGTATTGAATCTAGGAATAAGCCAAGTCAATGCAACTCAACACTTATTATACGTAATTTAATTTTCATCATCGTTGAACCGTTTCATATAATATATATATACCTATTTATTTAATATATTATACTATAATACTATATTATATATTAATTATAATATACTTATATATTAAGGTGAACCATAAGTTCGTACACAACTGCATAACGGATTGGTTTATTGTAAAAATTTATTATGGAAATATTAATTTTAAAAAACCCACGAACTTTTGCTTCACCCTAATATAAATAAATTAAAAAAAAAAAAAAGAAACTGATGTGTGTACTTATGCACGTTAGAAGTTATTCTTCTTTAGCGTACCAAAACGAATCTAACCTTCATAACCTCAAAAATAACTTCAATTTKCSCGCGCATCGTAAATATCGACAACTTCGTGGTGTTGATTTTTCGTTCGCATCTAACTTAACTTTCCAAAACTCGCGCCAAAAGAAGTATAACTTCAAAAAATAAAAGAAAATGATATATATATGTTAAACTTACCCTGACTCGAGGTGAATGCAGTATCAGGAAGTGGTTGCCCATGAGGATGGGGATGCGAATGACTCGGTGGTACAGCAGCAGCACTACCATGAGGATGAGGTGCAGCAGGTGGATGAAGTACATAAGGTGGTGCAGGATAAGCTACGGTTCCAACGTATCCACTGGTTGCATTAGATGATAATTGTTTTCTAAGTCTTGCACGTCTGTTGCTAAACCAAACTTGAATCCTGGCTTCGGTCAATTTAGTTCTCTGTGCTAATTCCTCTCTGGTATATATGTCAGGATATTGGGTTCTCTCAAATGCACGTTCCAATTCGTCCAATTGATTGGCAGTAAAAGTTGTACGACTTCTACGTTGTTTTCTCTTCAATGCGATACCTGGCTCGCTATCGCAATCCGAACCCGAACTCGTTTTGACTAAACATCCCGATGGAACAACAGAAAGAAACCAAACAAAAAAGAGAACAAATAAAAAGATACCAAAAAATGAAGAAGAGAAAGAAAAGAAAGAAAAAAAAAAGAATAACGAGACAACGAGTGTTAATTTACAAAATTTCAATCATCATCATCATCATCATCATTTGTTTTTTTTTTCACAAATAAATTATAATATTATATTATATATCTTTATACTTATAATATATATATATATATATCAATCGTTTTTTTTTTGTTTCACATTATATATGGTAACGTTATCCAAAAATATTGTCATATAAAAAAAAAAAGGAAAAAAGGGGAAAAGAAAGAAAAAAAAAAAGGTATGGTTTAGTTTTTCGTTTCATCTCTCTCTCTCTCTCTCTCTTTCTCTCATTCTCTGTCTCATCGTGGCTAATCGTGCGACGCTCGACGTCCCGACGCCGAGACTCAACCGTGTTTAACGCGAATTCGACACAGATTCTATTCTAAGATGAAAGAGACAGAAAGAAATAAAGAGAGGGAGAGAGAGGGAGAGAGAGAAAGATAGTAAGAGGAAAGGAAGAAAAACATAAAGAGAAAGCAAAAAATAAATAAAGAAAATCCCTTTTTTTGATTTTTTAATCTTACTTAATTTTATAACACTAACTTTAAGGACTGCATCAATTTTAATCATTTCAAATTTTGTTTGTTTGTGTTGATACAACACATAAATGTATATAAAAATTAAATATTATGTTAATTTTGAATACCTTAATGAAATATACGTAAAAATAATTATTTCTCTCGTCTACTCAATTCTTCATTCAAATGATGTTTGTAAGTATTGAAAAAATAGTTAACAAAACATCCGTAAATCTAACATTACTAAAACGCAAACCAATGATTCCCAAATAAGTAAATTAAAAAATAATTAAGTCGAGTGTGTTCAAATTTTAAAAGGAAAAATGCGACAAACATTATTATTTTATTCAATTAATTATTTCTCTCGTCCCAAAAATTATATTTGTTTTGTTGTTCAAATATAACGAATCAAAAGATAACGAAGTTTAGATGTGTAGTTTTTTGAATATATTACAAGAATGTATGTTTGCTTAAATAAAAAAAAAGACGCTGAACTTTAGAAATTAAGTTGCTGAAGAAGTCCCAATAAAGGGACGAAACGTACAAATTAATCAAAACTAAGTTCTAGTTCTTTTTAATGTCCCAATTCCCTATGATACTTATTTATTAATTATTAGTTTATTTTTTGAATAAAAAAATAATAATTCATGCAATTATATATAAATATATATAAAAAAAAAAACAGAGATGATAGATTTGTAGTTTTATTTTCAAAGAGAAAGGAGAGCAAAAGATAAATAGCAAACAGGATGAAAATCAAAAGGACGGCTCTCAATCGTGACTCGTACCACACCACAGTTTAATATCGGTTGAAACGTAGCGTAGGTAAAATATAGCATGTTCGAAAGAGAGAAAGAACAACTTTTAAAATTACAAGTTTCACCTCGGCGTTTAGTCTTCGATGGTATGCAATTTTTTCTCAACTCCACGTAAGATTTCCAAGCACCGACCTGGACTGGATGGACTCCGCGATGTGGGACGTTATACGTTTTTTTTTTTTTAAATACGATAAAGAAGGAAGAAACGAGTGTATTAAATCTAATGAGTGCGTAAGAGATAAACAGAGATAGGAATACATTAACTAAAAAAAAACAAAAAACAAGAGAAAGATAACAAAAATTGAAGATTATCCATTTTTGTTGTTCTCCGAGTGTTTCTTTTTCTGTATCCCTTTGCAATCCGAAAAATCACGATATTTAAGTATTATAATATATATGCTTCAATCTTCAAGGCCAAATGATAAATGATTCCACGCGCTAATAGTTTTAATTGTAATATGGTTCATCCTTGAATAAGGCACACGCGTATATTTCATGTATATAATACAAACGATATATAGTTTTTAATTAGAAAAAATGATTTCGCAATTCGACCGCTATTAAAACTAACATAATTTTCATCGTTGCGAGTTTAATTACACACGAAAGATGTTGGATAAAACGTTTTGTCTATTTTGTGATTTTAGATAAATTTCAAATCCATTCCTTAATGAATTGTGTATATTCTATAATTTGTTTTTTTTTCTTTTCTTTTCCAACATCGATCTACGATTTAAATTTCAAATTTTCAACTCGTACACACACACACACAAATGAAATAACAAATATGTTTTTTTAAATTCGAATATTAGCACGAGAAAAATGGGGAAATTAAATCATTCAAATTTTAATCTAACAACAATATTAATATATATTCACTAATTTTGTTTTTTTTTTTTTTCTTTCTCGCACGTTCACGTCATCCGTTCGCAGTATTATTTTTACACTTTTTCTTTCATTTGATCCTTTTTTTCTTTTTTTTTTTTTAAAGACCCGACCATCGAAACGATCGACTTACACGGCTTTGACCGACCCCTCCCCCTCTCCCTGCCCCTACCCCCGTTCCCTCGATCCCTATACCTTTCTTTCTCTCTCTCACTTATTTCTCGTTGTTCCTTTCATCTTTGCCGGCCAGCAGCCTTCGAACGATCCCAAGACGGCCTTCGGACGGTACACATTTCATTTGTCTTGTCAGAAGGGTGCACACGGTAACCCCCCAAGGCGCCGACTACTCGTTGTGCCACCTTGCTAGCTAGCTAGTAGAACCCTCCAACAAACTACGGAAACAGCTTCCTTAGATTCTTTTTTTTTTTTTCTTTTTTTTCTCTTCATCTTCCTCTTTTATTTCTTATTTTTTTTGTTTTCCCCTAATTATAATATAACGCGATAGAATTGTTGTTAGACGAAATTTCGTTTCATTCGTTGCAACGAATCATGTGGCCACCCTCCCGCTGGCCCCTCTACAGCAAAACAAAATGTTCGTTTGCAAAGTGAACTTACTTTTAATATGAACAATTTTCTTATTAACGTTATTTTTTTCTTTTTTAAGAGAGAACCCAATTTGTTTTTTATACCAATTATTATAATGTTCACGTGAAATTTTCAAAAATCGTTAATAAATCGTTCATTCCATTTGTATATTACTTTGTTTTGTGGTTTTTCAACGGATAGAACAAATACGCGATGGAGAATATTATTCATGAATTCATTTATAATCACATGAATATCGTTCTCCAAAAGTTTACACTTGAAATTAATCATCCGTTTTAAAAAAAATGTTCCCGTGTTATATTATTCACGTCTTGGATTACAAATATACGATAAAATAAATCATTTCTCTGCCAAAAGAAAAACAAAAAAAACAAAAACCATGAATATATTCTAGAATTTATTTTTATATTAGAATTTTTATTTTTTATTTATAACAGTGAGGATATCTAGACTAATAAACACTAGTCTAGATTGAAACAGTTTTGTTGAGTGTTCAAATATAACGGATCAAGAGATAACGAAGTGTAGATGTATAGTGTTTTGAATATTACAAAAATGTATGTCTGCTTAAATAAAAAAGAGACGCTGAACTTTAGAGATCAAGGTAACATCTAATATCTTATAATGTATTGATCTCATGTGTGTATTTCACAATATATAAAAATAACAATAAAATAAAATAAAATTTCTGAAGAAATTGCTGAAAAAGTCCCAATAAAGGGGGACAAAACGTCCAACTTATCAAAACGAAGTTCAAGTTCTTTTGAATGTCCAAATCACACCCCCCCCCCTCCCTAAGATACCTATTTATTAATATTCTAGAAACTTGTAAGGAAAACGTGCGAACACGAAGAGTTGCGAGTGGGAGGGTGGGGTGGGGAAGGTAAGGGTTAGGGGCACACCTAGTGTGAAATTTTGAAAAAATTAATTTTTTGTGTGTGCATATTTTGATAGTCTATATCTTTAAAAAGAACATACTGAAATTTCAAATAAATATTTCAAATAGTTTTAGAGTTACAGCTTTCTAAAGAGTAGCCGGTCAGGGATTAGAAAACAATCATTTTATCTTTGAACGCGTTTTTCTCAAAACTATATTTTTCAGATTAGCTGCAATTGTAACTCGAAGAAGAATCATTCTGCTTATTTCGTATATGTTTCTCTGTACAATGACCTAAAAGTTTTACGATTGTATAAAAAATGTAATTTTGGCGGGCGAAAAATCATCAAAATTTTGAGCAAAGTTCGATATTTTTGTTAAAACTCTGCCATTTTGTTAAATTTTAATTTTTTTTTTCACAATTTTAGGTCATTGTATTAACAATACCTTCTAGATTAACAGTATTTTTTTTTATTTCATCAACAGTGAAGATCGGAATCACTGCAGCCGTTTAGGCCCTTTTTCTTTTAGTGATTTGGGAGACAGCGAATAACTCGCTGAAAATTATCTTTTTTCATTTGAAAATTTTAATGAATATTCATTAATTATGTATAAACATATCCTCTAAAATTTTCAAATACTTCATGCAGTAGTTTTCTTTAAAAAAAATTCCTAAAAATCACCTTTTTTTTAGGCGGTCACACTAGGTGTGCCCTTTAAATGAACGCGTTTGAAAGCGTATTATCTATCCCCTTTTTTTTCTTTTCTTTTCTTCCAACAGACAGATGGTCAAATTTCTTTACCGAGACTTTAGTGTCCATGAAGTAAGTAAGTAAGCAAGTAAGCAAAGAAAAAAGATAAAGATGAAAGATTAAAGAAAGAGAAAGATGGTTGGATTATTCGCGTTTGCGCGCGGGCGCGCGTACATTTACGCGTATGAGGAAGAAAACACGTGGGCATGTACAGGGCGGCAAGAAAATTACAGAGCCCCAGGCCGAACAGCTACCGACCTACCTACCTACCGACGGCACGACGGACGGTTGCTGATACTTCGACGTTCAGAACCCAGAGAACCGGTAATTTCTGAGATCGAGAAACGCGCGGCTGATTAATGCGCGAGCATTTAATTTATTCATTCACCGTTTCCAGAACTAACCACCACCACCACCATCAGAACCAACAGCACCAGCACCACCATCGTGCTGCTACTGCTGTTCCACAAGACACCAGCCTTTTTTCCCCCCCTTTTTTTTCGGGAAGAGTTTTATTGTTTTTATTCCTCTACTTCTTTTATCTTTTTCTTTTTTCATCATCATCATCATCATCATCATCTGCCTTTTTTTCTTATTTTTCATCTTCATCGTACACGTTTTCTTCTCGTGTTTCTTCTTAACGTTGGTTTAGATCCGATCATAAGATGATGATCATGTAGCTTTAACACACACAGCAATATATATATGTATATATGTATATATGTTGACCGGGAAAATTTAAATCTCGTTCTATGATAAAACTCGCAAAAGTTATCTGATAGAAATTTTTGTTAGAAAATAAGTAATCGTCGATGAGTGGAAGGAAAACCTTAATGGAATATAGGGTGTGTATGTACCACCACCTACTTATCCACTACCTACTACTATACAGAACATTCATTCGCATAGCTCGGTATCATTATAATCGAATTCTCTTGAAGGGCAGCATCTACTCGGAGAATGGATTTGCCGATTCCCACGGATCATTAATCTTGTTTACGACTCGGAGAAACAGAAAGAGAGAGAGAGAGAGAAAGAGAACGAAAAAAAAAGGTTCGCTTCTCTTTAAAGAGAAGAAGAAATCTTCCAAGAAAATTAGTCCACGGATTGAAAGATGATTGCTTAGGTGAATTTACTCCGAAAGTTACCAAAAAAAAATCTCCCAAATTTTATTCTAAACGATATATCTTTTTTTTTTTCTTTTGTTTCTCTTTTTTTTTAAATCATCGTCACTCATGTTTTATGTACAATTTTTATGTAAATCCTGTATTCGATGCACAAATTTGATTTTGATCATAAAGAGAATGAGAGGGGTTGTCTTCGGCAGGGGTTGGGGGAAGAGAAAAAATAGTTACATTTTTAAAATAGAAAACAATTGAAATATGATTTGTGTTTTTTTTTGGGTGAATCGAATTCGGAGGAAAATTTTATCGAACGATATATTATTACGCGATGTTTTTATTTTTAAAATGATATTAAAATTTTGATTGATGCGCGGGCGTGTATATATTGTATAATACATGGAATTTAATGATTATTTCAAAATTTGTCTCTTTTAGATATGCGAATTAGATTTTCTATATCGGACTTAATTTATCCCTAGATCGATTACATAGCCTAAGCGATTTCCTCGATTCTCCTTAATCACAGTCATCGAAGTTATTCAGCCGTGTCGGTCGATCAAACACGATAGATCGTGCGATCTCGATGAAGGTAATATTTAAGAACGAGAGAGACAGATAGAGAGAGAGAGAGAGAGAGAGAGAGAGAGATAATTATTTTTTACATACGTGGGTTTTAAGAAAGTTTCTTCAAAGGGGAGAAAGAAAAAAAATGTATAAAAAATATGCAAACTATTCGCGTAGAAAAAGTGAAACATTAATAATAATTATACGATATAACGAGTGGTACATTTTAAGATCGTAGTTGAAATGATTGATATTCAATAATATTATATTAAAATATGGAGAGAGAGAGAGAGAGAAAAAAGAACAAAAAAATTAGCAATAAAATAAAAAAAAACTAAAAAAAGGTTAGATATTAATTATTTAGTATTTTCTCTCGTCCAAAATTATAATTTTTAATGATAAAGGTTCATAGGAAACTTGGACATGAAAATAAGTAGAACTTAATTTAATTAAGTTAAGTCTTTTCATGTCCAAGTTACCTATGAACCTTTATCATCAAAAGTTAGATATTAATGTTAATTGTAATTAGAAGAATAACGATATTAATAATAGGAAACGACAAAATATGAATTCATTTAAACGGATTATGAGTATCCTTAACTCAATTATTAAACAAAATCACTTAAAATAATGATTAAATACGAATCATGCAAAAAAAGAAAAAAAAAGAAAAAGGATTGTATTGTTAATATAACTTACAATCACCAAGTTTGGCTTCCTCATCGTTTTCGCGACCACGTAGGAGTCTTGAAATTGCGGATACACTCGGTGCAGCAGTTCTATCGCAAACATTATCCTTGATCAAACGATCCCTTATCTCCCATGAAAATATTCCCGGATTTTCACGCCTGTATTCCTCGATTCTGGCCTCGATTTCCGGTGTTGCGACTCTCGGTTTGCTACCACCGATGACACCTGGTCTGATACTTCCGGTTTCCTGATAACGATTCAGTATCTTCGATACGCAACCGTGAGATACGCGGAGCTGCCTATCGAAGTAGTAATTCATTTTTTTTTTGTTTGTTTGTTTGTTTGTTTCGTTTAATTATTTTTAATCTATTAAAACCTAACAAAAAAATGATCATAATATTCATCGTGACGATGATGATGATTCATCAATCGAGAGAAAAATTTACCTTGATATAACGCACGGTCTTACTCCAGCCCCAGCTAATTCCACTATTTTCAATCGAATATGATTGGGCAATGGACGACCATTGATAAAAACTCCACCTAATTGATTGACACGGCCCTGTCCTGGTATAGATCCTAGATCTGTTAGATTCAATTTATAAACTAGATATAACACGTATTATACAAATTGTTTTAATGCTATAAAATATTATTTAAATACAAAATAAAAGAGTTGACAATTTTTTCAGATGCAAGTTGTTGCACCTTTTTATTATTGTTCTATTTCTTTATATATTTCTTTCTTTCTTTCATTCATTCATTCCTTTTCTTTCGCACTTTTGATACAAAAAGTAATAAGCAAGAGCATACAAAAGACTATACAATACACAATTTGACCAACGATAAGTTTAAACCAAGCTGAAGGTTTATTACTCGCAATAAATGATAGCGTATAATTTCCTTGGCTTATTTAATTTCGATTTACACGAACGTTCTTCTATACGCGACATGCTTGGCGAAATATAAGAGCGAGAGAGAAATAAATTTCTTGCTACGATCGCGCGTTCTTGCAGTTAAATCTCGGCTCACGTGTATAAGCCTTTTTAATTTAGAACACGAGTAGTAGTGCTCGTTAATCGAAAGTTATTTCCTCTCTTTCTTACCGTCTATACAGAATGAACAATGCAAATGGGTAACATTAAAAAAAAAAAATTAAAAAAAAAAGAAGTTATTATAAGTATAGAGAGAGAGAGAGAGAGAGAGAAAGAGAAAGAGAGAATCGATGAAAAGAATCAAAATGAAATTAATTCGATCATTCGAATGTGTGTGTGCAAGATTGTATAAATAATAAATTAATCGAATAAATACAAAATGATAAAATCATTGATAAGATTATTTGATCATCGAGTCCACGATTCTGTTTGAATTGTTAACGAGATTTTATTGTTGTTTTTTTTTTTTAATTTATCGAGCATATCGGATAAATGTGTGTGTACCAATTCTAAGAAAAAAACTTATAGTTGCATTGAACGGAAAAGTTTCATCTCTCAATGACAATCACCGAACGAAAAGTCTGATCATCGATGCGAAACCGTAACGAGAAAAAAAGATCAATCTTTCTTCGTGATAGATCTTTTCTATATATATTTATTCATCCAGAATCACATACCGTTGCATTGATCATTAGTCGATACAAAAAAGTTTTCTCGAATGTCGAAAGAAAAAAAAAAATTCAAATGAAGGAAGAAGACCTTCGCGATTATAACACGCACACGTATATACCCACCCACGCACACACATACACACGTCCACGCAAATTGTATTGTTCCATATATTTGTTAAATTATTTTCCATAAGATCAAAAGAGTATCGCGTCAAATATTTATTAAACTTTATTCATTTATTCGCGTATAATATAATCAAATTGAAAAATGGGAAACTAAGTTTATTGTAATAAATAAATAATATTAATTCGTATATATATATTATGGAATATTTGTATGTTTCTTAAGAAAAAAATCATTCAACTTTATTCTCGCGTTTACGTGGAAAACAATATTAAGTTATTTCGATGAATGCAGTCAGTATCTTTCCGATTAGGCGAGTCGTACCTTAAAATGATTAAATATACTGCACGGGGGAGGAGGATAAAGTAATAAAGAAAAAAGAAATAATAATAATAATAATGAGGGAAAAACGTCGATGATACATTAATAAAACTATGAACGATTACATAAGGAAAGTTATGCATGCATCATTTTCATTCAACGTTAATCGATAAAATTTTGATCGGAACTGCGCGTTTTATTTATTATATTCGATTATTTTATTAATTTTCCATCCATTTATTTGTCAATTAAACTTTTTCTTTCAATTCTCATTCTACTCGACTAATGTATAAGCTACTTTATTGTGATTTTTATATGTTTTTGAATATGTCGATCGATTTTAATTATCGTTCATTTTTTTTTTTTTTCTTAATGCAACTTTTGCAAATGTTTTTTCTTTGTTTTTCTTGGTATATTATTCAAATGCGGTAATTACCCGTGTATCGTTGAGACAGAGATTAATGATATTAATCAATTTTACCTTAGCACACTTAGAAAGGAATTAGATGACGAATCTCAATAAAAAGAAAATAAAAAACAAGCTACAATAATTTTTTAAATAAATTTCATGAAATCGTTGTCTTGCACGAGATTATTGCTAAATTATTACTTTCTAGTTCTCCATATTCCAACATTTCTATATGAAAGAAAGAAAGAAAAAATCATTTATAACTTAGAAACTCAACTTTTTTTCCGATTGTTCTAAAATTTTTGTTTTTTTTTTTTAACTTATCTTCGTGACCAAAATTTTGTCGAATTTCGAAAGAATATATCGAATAAACTGTTATCGGATTGGTCGTATTATTTTCCAACTATACCGTCCGACGGTAAAATTACGAATTCTCTTATTGCACCATAAGTCTCGATTATTTATAATCATTTTGTTATTTCGCATATCATTTTTATTCGCATTGGTAAAACAATTTTCTTAAATTTTTTCATCAAATCGAATATATTTTCAACAAACAAATTATATATATATATATATAAAAAAAAACACTAACTGCAAATATAATTCGACGATATTTATTAATTAGAAGAATTATATGTTTCCAGGAAAAAAATAGAAGATAAATCATTGTTTTAGAAATACGATAGTAATCATCTTACTATGTAATTTTATGACAGTTATCGACACAATCTTTCGAAATTCAAATAAGATTGAAGATAAAATGTAGCCGTTTTCAGCAACAACAAAAATATATAAAGAACATAATGAAAAATAAAAAACAAGGATACTCAAATCTACGTTTCCTAGAGAAGAGACATGCACCTTGGAAAGGGTATCCAGTAAAACAGGGTCGCATCATCGAAAAATTAGTGGTAACCGTCATTTCAAGTAGTCACCACTAATTGAACTACTCCGTCCACTAAATCTGCAATGAACACTATTATTAATCCACTTCACCGAATTATTTTAACGATCGTCGTAATTTTTGTTCCTCTTATATACCGCGATTACTTCATTTAAAAATGATCTCGTAAAAGACGTAACGAATTTCAAACGTAACGCACCATTTGAATGAACACAGTTTTAAATTCACAATAAAATTATCAAACAAAATAATGTGTCACTCGTCTCTTATATATATATATATCAATTTATTATATTATTATTATCATTATTTAAATATTATAATCACTCGAGTTGTGTTGTTTTAAAATCACATAATCCAATTTCGCATAACATAGAAGATCTCGAAAAGTTTTCATAAGACTGCTAAGATTTTAAATCATTTTGAATAAACATTAACCGTTATAGAATTAAATATCGACAAATCCATAAACAATAACACTATAGAAATACTCTGATCGGCTTTCTGATCTTGACTAAGCTCCCTCGTCTACGATGAAGTCAAGTAACTAAGGATTGGCCACTCCTACCGAACTTCCTAAAAATCCTTTACCCCTACCCCATAAAGCCAACCTTTATAAGAACAAGTGGGGAAACATCGACAAGGTGGAATCCCAAAGTCTACTACTACATTGTGAAACATCCAAGCAGATACTTAGGAGTAGGCGTAGCGAGTGTTACCAACCAACGAACACCAATCATCGTCCGAGTTTATTGCCAATAGGCCACGCCTCCGACTTACATTAGAGACGACTTCTCTTCCAGAAGAGTATTATAGAATCTATCTATCTATCTATCTATCTATCTATCTCTCTTTATTCTTTTAATACGAATAAGTATTTCTTTTTTTATCGACTACTCGAATAAATGGAAAAACAAGAAGATATAATTACGTTTGTAATATTTACGAATGGCATCTCGTTTTTTTGATTATTAGGCTGAACCATAAGTTCGTGCATTTATTGTGTTTGTTCAAAGAGTTCATATTTTGTTTGCTATCAATAAAATTACTTTATATGCGAGTGAAATGTTAATTTAATAATGCACGAATTCATTGACAAGAAATTAGACAAGAAATTTTGTTCAGTTATCTATAGGATATTGTAAACAGTCGTTTTACTCTGAGAAAAGTATTGTTATATTATATATGTTGATTTGTTCATTGAATTATAATATTCTTGTTTTATTTTGTGAAATGTGTGAATATATACTTAAAGCGTTGTAAATAGCGTTAACTTTTGATTAATCGTAAAATCTAGAAGATATATCGATGAGAATAATTTCAAACAGAATTATGTAATATCGAATAATATAATTTATTCAATTATTTCTCAAATACTAATGAAATTAATTTTTGTTGGTAAGATAGTAAAAATAATCTGAGTTAACTCTTTATTCTCTCTTCTAGATCGTCATAATCACAAACAAAACAAAACGTAACTTCATTTTATCGTCGCATCAATTTGTACAACACACAACCAGATATTAAGAATAATCAAAATGTTTTAACAACATTACTTTTCGAAGGATTAATATAAAAGTAGCCGAGTCAAGTATTATAATAATGTTAACATGAATCTAATACTCGAATACTTAAGTATACTATCTAGAGACACATAAATTATAAATAAAACCTAATAAAATTTAAAGAACGCGCGAATATTTCGTAATACGATTTATCTTTTTGTTCATTTAGACTTTTTTACACATCAGCAAGAACAATTTTAGAACGGTTTTGAAACTAAGTGAGAAAGAATAAATCATTTATGCGTTTTCGTAATCACGAGGCATGCCCGTTCACGCATGATCGCGGATTACGAATAGGTCCTCTTTGTTTTTTCCCTCTAACACCTCCCCCTCCTCCTTTCCTCACCTTCCCACCAAACAACATTTTCTACTAAAAGCCTGTTGATGATGATTCTTCGTCGTCGTCGTCGAGGAAATGACGATGCACGTGTAGACAGGATACGAAATGAAAGCAATCGTACCCGTCGACTGGAAATACCCTAATGAATTTCGAAAAGTTTCTAGAAAAGCGTAATTATTTCTAACTTAAAGAAAAAAAACAAAAACAAAAAAAAAAGAACAGAAAAAAACAAATTAAAAAATTAACCGGAACATCGTACGATTTTTCAAAGATGATCATCCTATTCGTAAAAAAATTTTTATCGACAAATTCGACGTATCTTTTTTTCGAAAATTAAACAAAATATAACAAATAATATTATTTCAACATTATAATACTGTGTTTATAATAATAAACGTTAATTATACGACCGAGTGACAATAAAATGGATAAATGAAAAAAAAAAAAATACATGTGACTTTTAAATTATAAGTATCATCAAAGTGATGGTTAACTTATCTCGAATAATCACGTATTTATTGAAACCCATAGTTCAATTCAATATTCCAACCATTCCGTGAAATTATGGTTTCCCCCTTATGAATTCAGAAATGATTCCAAACTGATGTCCTATCCTGTGTCATAGAAACGACAAAAAAGAAACGTAAGGAAGAAATAGATAAATAAGAGGAAGATATTAGATAGTTCAAAGGGAAACCATTGATGTTCCATAATTATTAAATTTGCCAGAAAATGTCTATATCTTAAAGTATGGTTTTCCATGTTGGATAAAAATGATTTGATAGAAGATGAATAATGTCACAGATTATTCTTAGGATGAATAACTTTGAAAGACTATCAAATATGTGTTCATTCGTATCTTTTCTTCTTCTTCTTCTTCTTCTTCCTCCACTTCAACGTTTACAAAAAAAAAAGATGACAGAATATCTTACAATGAGATGAAAGAATAGTATGATGTTGAAAGGACTTTAGAAATATACGTTAAAAATTGACGCAAACTATAGGAAATGTTTTATTCGATGGTGTCCTCTCTTTTTCAAAATAATCTTTTCTAAAGTAAGCATCCCGTTGCGAAATTCGACAAAACAAGCTCCTTAATGTCTTTATGGGACTACAGGACTCATTCGAAACATTTCAAAAAGAGTATCTTGAATTTGAACGCAAATCAACCAAAAGCGACCACTTTTTACCAGTTAGTAGCACCGTCGGAAGACCATGGGTATCATTCATGCTGTAGAAAATTATTTTCTTATTTTTCTTCTTCTCGCTATACTTCTCTTCCATCATCTCATTTATCTTCCCTATCTCCTTTTTTTCTCTTTTATTTTTTTCAAGGCCAAAACTTCTTTTCCATTCTATTTCTTTTATTGACTAAAAATCGTCAATGTCAATCTCGCGTTTTGTCAAGAAAACTTATCGACCAATAGAAACGACTAAGAGGTCTCTTACATTTTCCTTTTATTCGGTTAAAATACGAAAAAGAAAAAAAAGAAAGGAAGGATTCATATATTAAAATATCTAAGTAGAATATAATAACAGAATTAAACTAAAACCAAGATATCTAAGTAAAATGTTTGTTTTTTGAATACAAATTGTATATTTTAAAATAATAGAAAGATTTTGAATCGAAAATATGAACATAAATCATTTAATAAATCATGTACAATAGCAAATATTTGAAATAATAAACAAGTTACATAAGTAGCATTTAGTAAATCACTCCACATACGAATGTTGATTAAATCAAAATCCAATTAACTTTTGATTAACCCGAGTATACGAGAAAAAAACGAAACAAACAAAAATAAGGTGTGAAAAATGTAAAAAAGTATACGTGAAACGATCTATTAAAAAAAAAAAAAAAATAAAAGAGAGAATAAAGGGAGGATTACCGGTCAAACGAATGCAAATTATTTTCGAGAGTTTGATACCCGCCCACCGAAGAAAATGCAATTTCAAAATATCTTCGTAAACTGTCAGGTCGTAAATAATCGACTTGGCATCGATAGTACTATACCCCTAAATACAAAAAAAAAAAAATGAACCCTCTCAATCTCCATTTCCTTCCGTTCTCATAATCTTTATCAACTTTCCTCCTTTCGTAACAGGAAAGTACAATATTATAACCATAGAGATAAAGCATCATAAATATCCGGTTTTACCATAATGGATGTTCGTAAAACGGTTAATCATTTTCTATAGCTTTTCTTTTCTTTTCTTTTCTTTTTTTTTTTGTTTTTTTTTTTGTCACTTCACGAGACACTTTTGGTCTAGCGTAACCGATCGCGGAAAATTTGAATTTTAGTGTCAAACCGTGTGTTTCTTATTCAAACAATATAACCTATCCAACTTCCACAAAGCGTATAATGTTTCATACAATATTCACTTAATCCGTATAAACCTTGTCGAATTGAATAATTAGAAAAACATAGGATGACAATGAAAGAAAATAATAAGTATATGGTTAACCAAAAATAAAAATAACAAACGAACAAACAAACGTACGTTTAAAACGGCAGAAAATCGTTTCCATCGAAAGAGGAAAGGAAGAATATTTTTTGTTTTTTTTTTTTCTTTTTAAGCAAAATAAATGTATGCACCTTCGATCGAATAAAATCTCTGTCGTCACTTTGGTAACACGCCGAAAATAAAATTTCAAAGGGAAAAAACGAACGCACCATGCGCCGCACTTATAAACTGACCTTCCTAATTTTTTTCTTTCTTTCTTTTTTTTTGTATATTTTCATTATTATTTCTCGTTTTTGTATTTTTTTTTTTTTTTGTATTCTTAATGTACTGATAGCTTTCAACTTCCCGCCAGGATACCAAGAAAGTTACCACCACCACCACTACCCCATGAAAGATGCTGACGGGTTGTCAGCGGGTAGTCTCAGGGCTTCCCTTCCTTCATTCCTTCGACTCCTGGAACTTTTCGATCTTATGGCAAAAGAACACAAAATCATTCGAAGTTTGTAGTATCTCGGAGGTAGTTTCGGTCGGTCACATTAAAGCTTGACTTTTGGCCAAAGTTCTTGTCACCTGAGAAGAAACGAAAAGGTTCACCGTCGTAAACCTCGCGCCAATAACCCACCCCACCCACCCACCTTCCTTCT